TCCAGGCGCTGCACCAGCTCCATTCCCCCCCCTGGCCCCATCCAGGACCTCAATGTCTCTCTTGCCTGTGTCAGTGCAAAGGGACGGCAGTTCCTGCCAGCGATGGGAATTCGGGGGATTCAGTGGGCCAAGAATTGCCAGGAATAGAACCTCATGGAATAACTGCAGCGTGATGGGCAGCTCTCGTGGGCAAGTCGGGCTGTACATGGAGGAGTGGGCAAATGGGTGCTGCTCCCAGGAGGAACATGTTGGGATCCAGGATTTCCTATTGCAAACGAGATCCTGAAGACTCCCTCCACGTCTCCACAGGGTCAGGAACTTCCCCCAGTCCCACGATGGTGACTCCTCCCTTGTCTCTTGCAGTTCTTCGATCGCTTGAAGCTCTTCTGGATGCCTGCGAAGCACCAGCCAGATTTCATCTACCTGCGGCACGTCCCCTTGCGAAAGGTGCATTTGTTCACCTTGATCCAGCTCATCTGCCTCGTGCTGCTCTGGGCCATCAAGGTGTCCCGTGCTGCCATCATCTTCCCCATGATGGTAAGAGCTGGTGCTGCGTGGCACCAGGACGTCCGCAGAGCATCTTTGTTCACAGAGATGCAGCAGCATCTCTGGCCTCACCGCATCTCCCCTCTTACTTGTGAAGGTTTTGGCACTCGTCTTTGTCCGGAAAGTGATGGATTTCTGCTTCTCGAAGCGAGAGCTCAGCTTTCTGGATGACCTCATGCCAGAAAGCAAGAAGAAGAGGTTGGATGATGCCAAAAATGAAGCCAAAGAAGAAGAGGTAACACTTGCTGGGAGCTGGACGTCTCTCTCAGGCTGTGAGGCTGCTTCTATCCCAGTTTGTTGGGGGAAAAGCAGAACTAAACAGAAATGGATCCTAACAGCCTGGATCCCACATCCTAACCTGTTCTTCCTAAATCAGCTTAACCCTCAAATAGAGGGATATTCTTCAAAATGGGTTTCTAATAAACCTGATGGTGATGAGTGTTATGGGAAGGTTTGCTCATAGGAGTGTTCTTAGCACCACTCGGAGTGAGAGATCTTTCCCCTGCTGCACTAACAGCTAAAGCTGCTCTTGGGCAGGAGAGGGTGGCCCACGATGGGTTTGCTGGGTGTCCAGTTTGGTCAGAGACCTTCGTTTGTCCCTTTCACGGCAGGAGTCCCGCAAGATGATGGAAGCTGCTGCTGCAAATTCCGTTCAGCTGCATCTGCTGGGGAAGAGCAGCAAGTTGGATGTCCCAAAGCAAAGCAGTGACAGGTAAAGCCCCACCAGGCACCAGGACCCTCCCCGGGCAAGATCAATTGGAAGGTGTTTGGCTCAGTTCTCATCACTTGCATCTTCCTTGAGCATCCCCTAGAAACCAGGCGGGTGGGTAAATGGGATGTATGGGCAGTGCTGCAGGAGGCGATGGAGGGCTCTGAGCCCAAGCACGTGGCTGCACGACTCTCGTTTGACCCCAAAACGTGCATCATCAGGGGCTTTATGGCACCTGGAGGTGCTCATGCTTAACCCTGAGGAGCTGCAGGCGTGATCTGTACCAGCAGGGGCTCAGGAGCCTGCTCCAGGGCTAAACCCCAGCGAGGGACCCCAAGCCCCTCATCCAGCCAAACCTCCCGTGCTTATGGTGCCCTTGGGCTCCCCGTTTGGCTGACGAGGAGGCGCTCGATGGCACCAGTCCCTGTAGGCACAGGTTGCTCCAAAAACACCTCTTGCAGGGCTGACCCTTCCGAGATTAACATTTCGGATGAGATGCCGAAGACGGCCGTGTGGAAAGCTCTCACCATGGACACAGAAACGCTCTGAAGGCGGCTTGGAAACAGGTAAAGGATCGGTGGGAACGTGGCATCGCTCCTCAGCACCTTTCCTCTGCTCTGGCTGGGAAGAGGCAGCGAGGCC